AATAATTGGGTCTCCCACTCTGAACACAGTACTGGGAACAGTCCACTTCTTTCCCCAATCCAAACCCCACTCCCTCTGCTGTCCTGCATGGGCACACCGATTCCCTGCCTCAGTTTCCCTCCCCACTATTACAGCAGGATTAGTACTCAGTGGTATACTTTGAAGCATAATAAATCAGGGACAGATTTTGTGGTCCTTCATGAGGCAAAATTCCTTTGACTTTGACCTTTAATGTTTATGAAAATCTACAAAGATAGCTGCCAACTTATTAATAATAATCTTCTTTGGAGTGGAAGTCACAAGCAGTTAGCAGCAGGCAGCCCAGCAGCCTCCAGTCCCTGCTAGGATTTCTTCTGCACTAACAAATTTGGATTTTCAGGTGTGTTTTTATAACAACGTTGTTTTCCCGACCATTTTCTGTAAGAGAGGGGAAGTAAGTTTTTCCCTCCACCTTTAAAAAAAAAAATAAAATCTCATCAAATTTGCCTTTCTCAAAACACTGAACATTCCCTTTCTCATCTACCTAAACCTGATGTTGAGTTACTGTCCCCCAGAGGCTTTCAGTAGCTCAGTTCTGATGTATCCCTGCACTTTGTAGCTCACTGCCTTCTTAGAGTGTAATCAAACATCAAGCTAAGTAGCAAATAAATCTCCCGATCTCATAAGCTGCACAGCAAGATCATGTAAATGCAAATGAAGGGCTTGATTTCAAGCTGTCGCGGGGGGAAGGAGGGAAAAATGCTGGGCCTTGTCACCACAATCACCTCACTCTGCAAGGGCAGTAAATCTGCAATAATAATAGTAATGGCAGCGTGACGGGAGGGCTTTACTGTACAAGGGGGTGCAATGAAAAGGGGAACAGAAGGTAAGGAAGGAAGCAGGGCCTGGTAGGCTGAAAATGCACCAGCGTGGGGTTTGCAGGCATCCCCAGGACAGGGCTGTGGATGAGGGGATGGGGCAGCCCTGTCTGAGTCAGAGAAGAGAGGGCTGAGGGGTTTGCCCAGCATCCCCTCCCAGCGCAGGGCTGCAGGGATGAAAGCTCTGTGCCTCCATCCCTCACTGCACCTTTCAGCACAGAGACATCTCCTACCCCTCTCAAAGTCTTTGGAAAACTGAGGCAATATGTATTGATGGGCAATAAATACCAAGGGGTGAAACAATTAAGTCTTACAACAAAACCTGGAATCCTTAAAGGTGTACTTCCTTACACCTTTGCAACACGCCCACCTCTTACAAACAGACCCACTTCCAAGCTTTCCTCTCCCTTCACAGTGAACCTTTTCTGTCACCATTAGATGCTCAAATACAAATCCAGGGCTCAAACCCAGGGCTGCACAAATCAGAAACTACCTGGCAAAGGCCAGGGAGCTCCATGCACCCAACACCACTGGCTCTTCAGCCAGCCAGAGTATACTCACCCATCCAACACCCCCACCACTGCGTGGTGGCCAGCCTGAGCATGCCATCCTCCAAACCCAGTCCAGACACGCCCAGTTCAACCATGAAAATGATTGTGTCCAAGGGAAAGGATGCACTAGGCGAGTCCTTAAAGACAGCTTGAGAGCATAAAGAAAGCCTCAGCAGACAACTCTCACAGCCCTGGGAGGAGGCAATGATCTCTGCAGGATGCTCTGAGAATGTTTTGGGGAAAAGTCTAGAGTTGTCTTTTCTGAACAGGCTGGATACACAGTATTTAAGATGCTGGATTCTCCTCGCTGAGGTCGTAAAGGGAGAAAACTTGCAGAAGGCACCCAGAGAAAATTAGGACCGCCTGGGATGCAGAGAGAGACGGTTTTAATTAGAGCCAAGAGGTGGGAAATAAGGCAGAGAAATGACATCTTAATGAGGTTTAATGAAGTTGTCTGCTGATGGGCACAGCTGTCAGACAGATCTGTATTCCAGCCAAGCAGCTTTGTGACAGGCTGAACCTGAACACAGGAACTGCTGCTGGAAAAGAAAAGGACCTTCTGCGTCAACTTTGGCTCACTCTCCTCACCTCTGTACAATACAGCATACCCACAGTGTCCCAGGACAAACCAATGAAATCAGTCCATGAAGCTGCAACAGTGTTTTGCTTATTTATGAATGAGAAAGGCTGTAATCTGGGATTACACTGAGCAAGATTCATTCCTG